GTGTAAACACATTTGTTTATTATGAGAATATTAAACTTTAAGTGAAGCATTTATTTGAATAAATCACATATTCAACTCTCAATAAAAAAGTTTTCCATTTTTGCAAAATGATGTCAAATTATATTCTCTTTCAGAGTTACCAACTCCTATTAAAAATACACATTTTATGTATTCAGATAACAAATTGCAATGTTTAGTTCACACAAAAGAACATATCGCACCTAAAGCGGCCTTTACACGGTCATTCATGTTTGCAAGCATGTGCGGCGTGATGAAAAGAATGAGCGTGTAAACATAATAAATTCGTGTTCGTCATACATGTGCGATGGTTTTTAAAATTTCTTAAAAACATGATGTTGTTATGAACATGTTTTATGGTGTAAACGCTTGCATCATGCACGCAGTATATTTTTTCAGTCGTAAGTGCCGTTTCACATTGGGATTCAAAAGAGTCTAATGTTTTTCAAATTTTCTTTTGGTGTCGCTCTGGGCATTCACACGGTCAAAAAGAGTCCAGCAACTCGAGTCTAGTTTTTCTGCATTCCTTTTCACAAAATTTTCGTAAATATTTGTGCGGTTCGACTGCGCAACACTGCGTGCTGCGTATTTCATTTGTATGTTGAGATGATGGTCACACATTTTGCTTGCAATTAATTACCATGAATATGGTAGAACAATATGCATAATACAAGTACCTACCCGCTAAATAGTTTCAAAGAAATACTAAAGACGGGAATTCCCTAATCCACAAGAATGTATTGAATATCCGCTACTAATATTTTCAAGGCCAAATTTATAATAGGAATTTCCTAATCTTTAAGTATTAAAAACTCATAATTTCTTTACTCCATAATCTATATCTTAATTTTCTCCTTATTTACAATTTGTCATAATATTTCTATTATTCTATGCATACGTATTTGCATATTACATACAAAAATAGATAACAGAACTCAAATTTGCGATCGAATTCATTTGAAACCGAGCGCTCTTGCAACCATTCAAAGAATTTGAAAGTGAAAAGGAATGCTGAAAAGGGTAGCAACGAGCTGTTACGAACAAGAACACAAAGCGTGCCACCCGAACACGAGTGGCACGGTCCCTTCGTCTTTCCTCGTCGTCCCCTCGTCCACAATAAACTGGTATGAGACTCTTTTGAGTCCCTTTGTGAAACGGCACTTAGCAAACATTGAAGCGTAATGACGTCACGGATAAACGAAGAACTGTGGAAGGACTGCTTTGAAATTTATCGAAGCGTTCTGGATGGCTGGATTATAAATTTTTAAAAAAATCATATAAATAAAAAAAAATTATAACAAAGAAACAATACAAGTCATAATAAAATATCATGGTTTTATGATGAACGTTTTAAATTAAATTAGCCAATAAAATTTAGCTGAAATTTCGTTTCGCACTGCTTTTGTTAGCTATTTTTAGCGGGTTTATTTCTGGCATCCCGCCTTTTTTGACATCAGCTGTTCGAAATCCCTGATTTTAATAATCAGGGAAAGAGAATAACAGAAAAATCAGCGAAAATGAGAGAGTCTCGCTTCATGTCATCCTTGTTATTTCATCCTTGATGTTGCTTCGTTCACAAATAACAGAGAAATAAAGTATGATTGCATGTTCGACCGTTTAAACGAAAACCATTTTTTTTTGCATCATGCCATGTTTGCATACAAAAATGACCGTGTAAAGGCCGCTTAAGAGGCAAAATAACATATTATCAAAAAATTCAAAATTTAGTTTATTTTTGATTAGATTTACAACATAATTTTACGTAAGTAATTTTAAACTTCTGCTATCAGACATAATGCCATTATAAATAAAATACAAAATTGTTCATTTTTTATATTTATTTTGATATCCTTTTTCCCTCTTGAACTTATGGAACCTGAAGTCTCGTTATTTTTGCGTATTTCATTGTAATACACTAAGCAAATCAGTACCAAAATTGACAACAAAAGTGTTTTAACTTAATCGTATTCATATCTTTCGTTCATTTGGAAGTTGTAAACATATTTATCTGCTATACAAAATCTACTATCATAAGACTCCACGTATCTCGCAGTTTCTATTGCATTACACAATTAGCTCACTATTGCAAAAAACACAACATCAGTTTCTTTTCCAGAATGCTAGAAATAAAACTTAACTTATTTAACAAATTTTAATTTTCGATTAATGACCTTTCAGGGCCGTTTTTTTAATACCCGGCTAATATAATCCTTAACCTGTGATTACCTAAAGTTAGTAGGTAAAGGTTTCACATCGGGTATTTGAAGAGTGGATATCGACAGGTTGAGGACCTTGGTGAGATAATTTACTCTCGTTGGGCCTAGGTGTTTTAGCATCAGCATGCTTATTCCGTCAGGGCCAATGGATTTAGACGATTTCGCCTTTTTGATGACACTCTGAACCTCCCCATCGGTGAAAGTAAGTGGTGCGCAGTCTTTTGGCATTTTGCGCAGCCGTAGGGTAACACGTCGTTTGGCCTTGTCAGTCGAAGGGTGCAGTATAAATTGTCGGCTGAAATAACTCCCGCACTTCTTCGGGTCCGAATTGAATTTCAACCCGATCGTCATGTCTTCTCGGATTTGACAGGGCTTTGACAGTAGTCCAAAGCTTACTTTACTACACCGGTGGAGAGGTTGCAGGACTTCAGGTGCTCTATCCATTTTGTCCGCTTATGATGATTTACCATTTGCCGAACCTCCAAATTGAGATTTCTTATTCGGGGATCACAGGGATCGGCATGGCGTAAGGTGCGTGCTCGTTTGCTAATACAGCTGCTTCGGCTGGGAAATTAGGGCGGAGTTCCGCGATTCTTTCAGCCGGTATGAAGCGAGCAGTAGCAGCAGCGATCACCTTGCGGAATTAACGCTCGCCAACGATGACGTCCGTAGGAATGGATAGTGCGTTGAAGGTGCTCTCAGTAAATTCTGTGAAGCCGACCCAGTTAGCTTTGTTAAAGTTAACATAAGTGCGGTTGTCCACAAAAATAAAGTCAGGAGGTTTCTCGATCGAGATAATTATGGGCAGATGGTCTGATGCGAGAGTTGGCATAGGTCGCCTGGTTATACTATTTATCAGACCACCGCTAGCGATGGTAATATCTGGCTAGCTATTACAGGTGCCCATAATTCTGGTGGGGGCTTCGTCATTCATTGTGCAGAATGTCGAATCGTCTATCTGTTCCACCAGCTCCATCCCCATCGTGATGCGCGTTATAGTCGCCTAGCACCAAACGGTTTTCACCACGAAGTAGTGCGTCTATGTTCGGGTGATATCCTGTTGGGCAACATGTAACTGGGGGGATGTATGTGTTAAATATTTCGAGCTCAACATCGCCTGACCGGACAGCTATACCCTGACATTCTAGGGTAGTGTCCCTACGGTCGATGTCAACATCGATAAGACGATACTGCAAGGTGTTGTGCAATATGAAGGCTAGGCCTCCACCATTATCTCGCTCGCGATCCTTACGTAAAACGTTGAAACCTGCACAACTCAGAAGATCTGAGCGGCTGTTTAGCTTGGTTTCTTGGACCGCAGCTATCGTTACGCGCTCCCGGCTCATGAATGCAACTATCTCCTCGATCTTACTCTGGAGTCCGTTGCAGTTGAATTGTAAGAGTCGCGTTTGTCGCGGGTGTCCAGTCGTGATCCTAGGGGTGCGTGTAGGTGGTGGTTGTTGCAGCTGTACTATCCGCATGGGCGGTTGTCGCACTGTGGTGTTGATTGGCGACGCCACTGTATGTGATTGCGGGGGCAGACTTCTACAGCATGGGGCAACGTACGACGCACTCCACTCTCGTGTGGTGCACAGACCAGAACACGACAGAAAGTGACACCAGCCAGTGCAAGAATTGCACTTGACTGATGTGACATTCCGGCGTATTGTGGTCTGACACACGGAACAGACTGTGCGAGGAACCAGGAGTTGCTGGGTGGTTCTCGTACGAGGATTGGAGCTGGATGAAGGTTGGGGGGTGGGAGGTTGGTCAGACTGGGAGTCATGCTGTCTATGTGAGCGAAGGTCCTATCTTGGCCACTCGACTGGAGTCGCAGCGCAGTGCGCGAACATGGTACAGGTTGCACACCCGTTGAGGCAGATGTCGCATTATTGCGTTAACAGCATAGGGCCACGTAACTTGTGGTCCACTCCCTATGTGTCTTAAGGCCTAAACAGGTCTTAAGATGGCTCCATCCATTGCATGTATTGCACCTAACCGAGGTGGAGTTTGGATGGAGCGTTTTAGCGCAAACGCAGCAGTAAAATTCCTCGGGGCCGGGGTTGGACTCGATGTCAGAACTGGTCAGGAGGATACGGAGCAACCCTGCTGCTAGGCGTTACTCCAATGACGACAAACTTAATCTAAAACTCACCGATCCAAACAGGGTTAGATCACCGAAATAACAGCCCTTGGCCGGATAAAATCCGGGTCAATTCCGGTACCGCAGGACCGGCTGTTGTGGGAAGAAGCCCTGTCTACACACCGTCTATGTAGCTGATTTTTCTTATAGATTATAATCCTCCTTCTGGCTAAGAAAATGGGTATGAACGGATGGAGGAGGTTCTGTAGATTAAGAAATTATACATACGGGTACCGGTGGCTTATGATTTTTGAGGAGTTTGCATTTAAACTTCAAAAATTCATCTATTTAAAGTGCGTGTTCCTTTTGATTTATAATGGACTTTATACTTATATTTTTAACTTTTATATCCACTAACACTTCACTGATTATTTTTTACACATTTGTTTTGTATTAAATAGTGCAAAACTAACTTTAATTCAATATTTAACTTTGGTTTAAGTCCTTTTATTCATACAATAACAAAATAACTGCATGCGAAAAAATAGGTGTTACGATATTTTGCAAACAAATAAAAATAAATAAAAAGAAAGGATTATACCGTCAACACAAAATGCATAATCGTGTGATGAGTAACACCAAATCTTTCAGAATTTCCATTCTCATGGTAAAACTCGATGTTGGATCGACAAGGTTTAATATTTTTTTAAGCTCGGCCGAATGCCACCTACGCCAAAAGGAGTTCTACGCAAATGAACTGAATATACTCCGGTGTTGGACCGACCAGGGTTATTTTTTTGAAGAGCGACTGAAGAGCACCAATACAGATAGGAATTCTTCGCGAAAAACTAATAATTTGTTAGTTATATCCTGTCATTGTGGTATTATTTGTTTTCTTTATTCCTTGAGTTCCTTTGTAAAATATGAAGATAAGGTGACAGTGATTATTTGTTAGAAGTAACCCTTTTCTTACTGTGTGAATGTTGCTAATGGGGGTTACGACCTCAGACCGTTTAAAACCGTAATCTATCTCCCGAGGATACGAGCAAATTCCGGCTGCTTGTCGCGTTCTACACCGACCATTGCAGGCTCAATAAGCATCTATTCTACATGGGCTTTGTCTCTTCTGCAAACTGTCGGTTCTGTGACATGGAGCCGGAAACCCCAGAACACCTGCTAGTGGGCTGCACAGCGGTCTGCAGACGGAGGAATAAGGCCCTGGGATCCATTTTTCTAAACAGGGATCGCATCGCTTCACTAGCACCTAGCAGTATATTAGAGTCCATCAATAGGCTAGGGCTAGATGAGACGTTGGGACCATAGACCATAGGTCGCGGTGCATACCTCTACTCAATCTATCTACATAACTACAGTGTGAATAAAAAAAATTGAACAAAAGTTTCTTTGCATTATTTATTAATGGTTATATAAAGTTGAAAATATATTTTTAAAATTCAATATAAATCGAAGAAATCGCACTTTGAATAGTTAACTTTTTGTAAACATTAAATGCAAACATCTAAAACCATAAGTCAGCGGCAACTAAATGTATATAATCTGGAGAACCTCCTCTAACCACACATACCCATTTTAACCCGAATCCGGAGGATGCTATCCTAAAATTTGTCCCTCCTTCTTTCGGTAAAGTTTAACAGAACTTAGTTATCAGATGGTTGCTTACCAGATAGTGAGAAAACCATTTTGAACCTGTTACCGAAAAAGTTCTTGTTAAGCGCTTGGCCATATTGTGACGAACATAGATAATAGAACAAAATCGAATGAACGATAAACTGCCAGAAGCAACTAGTTAGCGAATTCGTAGTTGCCAGAATGTTCTAGAAGCAATGTTTTGTTACAGATTTACTATATAAGGGCTGCCGGATCGTGGAGCAGGCACAGTTCTAGTTAGAGTGTTATCGTGATAAGAGCAATTAAGCTATAAGCAAGAAGTTGTAAGCTCGAATAACGAGCAGTAAGTGTTAAGTTGTTGGAATTAGAAATAAAGATAAGTGTGTAGCCATTAAATTGGGACTTTTATTTAACAATCCAGTGATCGAACTCAAGAGTGAGTTACAGGTAGACGATTTATCGAGAAATCCGTTACAATATATTGAGAAATCGGCCCTTAATGGCATATTGAAATCGTGAAAAGTCGATAGTATTGTACTATATTACAATCGATACAAGTTTTAAGTTATCATTAAACACATGTGGTTAACATATTCTTACTGAATTCTGGTGTTTTGTTTATTTCATATATAACTCTAATTTCAATTCTTTGGTCAAACAAAATGAAAGTCAAAGTTAAAAAGCATGATGGTGCTACCAGCATGGCTCGCACTGAGAGAGAAATACAAGAACTGAAACAAAAGTATGAGTCGATGCCTCTTGAAAATGAAATAAAACAATTTGTGGATATGCCTCTATCTCAAAAAACATTAAAAGGTTTATTGGACTCCAAATATTTTGTTCCGACAGAGATTCAAAGAAAAAGTATATTGACGGCATTAGATGGAAAAGATGTAATGGGAACTGCGATTACGGGAAGTGGGAAGACTCTTGCCTTCTTGATACCAGTATGTAAATATATATATATTTAGTTCCATTAATTACAATTTTAAGTCTTCAGGTTATCGAACACTTGTACCTGAACAAATGGTCACGTACTGATGGAGTATGCGCGATTGTTATTTCTCCCACGCGTGAACTAGCTTATCAAATATTTGAGACTTTGAAACGAATAGGAAGATACCACGATTTCTCAGCTGGATTGATAATTGGTGGAAAGAACTTGAAGTTTGAGCGAAGTAGGATGGATCAATGCAATATATTGATATGTACACCTGGTAGACTGCTGCAGCATATGGATGAAAATCCCTTATTTAATGCAAGTACCATTGAAATGTTAGTATTAGACGAAGCTGATAGGTGCCTGGATATGGGATTTGAAGAAACTATAAATGCTATTGTCGAACATTTTCCGACCGATCGTCAAACATTATTATTTTCTGCCACACAAACAAATTCCTTAAAAGACATTGCAAGACTCAATTTGGTGGAACCAATTTTTATTGGAGAAAAGTCAAAATCAGATGACATTATACCAGAATTGCTACAACAAAACTACGTTTTAATGGAATTGCAGGATAAAATTACAATGTTATGGTCATTTATAAAAAATCATCTTAAACAAAAAATTATCGTATTTTTTACCAGTTGTAAACAGGTGAAATATGTTTTCGAAATTTTTTGTAAACTTCGACCAGGTACAAGCTTACTCGCACTTTACGGAACACTACATCAGGACCGAAGGATTGCAATATATAACGATTTTACACGAAAAAGCAATGTTGTGCTATTTGCGACTGATATCGCGTCGCGAGGACTAGATTTTCCTACAGTAAATTGGGTTGTTCAAATGGATTGTCCAGAGGACGCAGTTCAATATATTCATAGAGCGGGAAGAACTGCTAGAAATAAGGCACGTGGAGAAAGTCTCCTGGTCCTAACACCGTCTGAAGAACAAGGTATGATAAAAGAATTGGAGGACAAGAATATACATATTAAAAAAATACATATTGATCCGAAAAAGCTGTTTTCGCCCAGATTGAAGATAGAAGCGGCACTAGCTCAAAATACGGAATTAAAGGCGTCAGCACAGCGTGCTTTTGTGTCTTATATTAAATCCATATTCCTAATGAAAAACAAACACATTTTTAATGTATTCAAGTTAAATCTTGAAAACTATTCCAAATCCCTTGGACTAATTGTTACACCGCGTGTTCGGTTTTTGGAACGTTTGCTACAGAAAAAAGGATCGGATACGGAAATAGTAACTGAATCAAATGACTTTGTTCACGAAGATTCGGACAACGATGAGGACTTCCTCAAAGTCAAACGAGTCGACCATGATTTGGGTATTAACATGAACGTAGTAACTTTGGAAGTGACAAATAAAAACAAAGTCTTAACAAAAGCTGCGGCTGCAAAAAAAACCATAAGAAAAAAAATAACACCAAATGCAAAAATTAATTTCGATGACGACGGAAACGTCATAATTGATAAGGTAAAACAATTGCGGTCTGAGCTTCCCGAAGAATATGAAAACAAAGATAGTGGCATAAACATTGAGGTAGCGAAAAAAGTTATATTACAAGAAGATAAATATGACAAAGAACGATTTAGGCAACTTGTTAAGCAACGCCACAAATTGCAAAAAGATAAGTTGAAAAAACTTACAGATGAGAATTCACAAAGCCATACCGCTGACAGTGAAAGCGATGACGACGTCGATATATCCTGGTTGCCGGATCCTGATAAAATATATGATTCGAATCGTAAGGCAAAAGAAACTGAACCATCTGAAAGGAGTTTAAATGATGACTTGGACGAGCCATCTATTAAAAAAGCAAAATTGACCTCCAAACTCACTTTGAATGACGCCGAATCAATCGCTGCACAACTTTTAGCAAATAAAGTATAATTTGCATAAATATTTTTATAATACACTAATTATGTGAATGCCAATATTGACGTAATTTTTAAGCAAATAATTAATTTCAACCTAAACATGCGTTTTGTTCTTTACTTCGGGAAAAGTGAAACGCAAAGTGAATAAACATATGATTTTTGTTAACAATTGCATTAAAAACACCATTCAAATGTTTTGCTTCGAAGGAACGTTTTTTCATATTAAATTTTATATTTATATTAATTATTTATTTTTTCTTTTACTATGTACATAAAGACCTATGCGTTATATTTGTTTTCAAATATTTAAGCTGCTTATTAAAAATTAATTGCTTTAATAACTATTAAAGAATCAGGGGTGTTGCAGAATTTAATAGTTGTCGGAATCAGAATTGAAACCGATAAGAAAATGTAGGTTTCATGAATTCAGATATTTTTATTAGTTTGACGTTCGAAACAGGAATTTGTATCGGTTTTGTTATCAGAAACAAAGCATGAGATGAGCTGACAGATTTGAAATGTAAGTTAAGAAAATAATTTTTATTGTTACGATTTAATTTATCGTTATTTCTATAGGGGAAAACATAAGAATAAAACAAAAAATGTCATAATTTAGTTTATGGAAAAAATCAAAATATTTAAAGAGAATTTACAAAACATAACAAACGTAATTTAACACCCAATTGCGTCTTTATTTAGTCGATAATGTGATATAAATCTGTAAAGTAAGCATGTGTACAACACATATACAACAATATATAACATGCAAGCCAAATTTCACATGCGTCTCCCCTGGTGCATCAAGTGGATTACTGTGATCTTTTAATATTTTCCTTTTATTTTTTTCGTTGCTTTTTTTCTTCAAATCAAATAAAGGCTAAAATAGCGGAACTCATTGTTAACTTTCGTAGACTTCATTCAGCATTTCAAATTTATAAAACGCTTCCTAATTTATTCATTTGCAAGTTTTGTCTCAATAGTAAACAGCAGAGGTTAGTTTAACGATAAGGTTTAAAAAAATAGAAAAGAGTCGGTACATGAAAACGATACAAACTGTACTACCATCGAATGTTATAACTGTTGACAGAAAAGTCGAAGTCATCGAGTGAGAATCGATTTTATTCGACTTGAAGCATTCAAACTCGATTCTAAAAAGTCGATTATTTTAAGTTAAAGATCGATTCTTGACCAAAGTCAGAGTCGACTTTCCTATCCCTACGCAAATCTTTCTTGGATTCCACAACAGCTTTAAATATTTGAGTTTTATTTGAAATTGCAACTGAAGGATCAGAAATCTTCTTAGATATGTTAAGCATAAGCTACTAGTAGACACACTGTGGTTGTGATATAATTTAATTCGTGTCATTTTAAAAATGTGAACATTTTACTCAAAAATTGGTTTTGACAGGATCAAGCCCTATCATTTTAATATACAGCATTACACATGCCTCATTACACCGCAATGTCTTGTTTAATAAATGTTAGGGGTCGGCTTTAGAATAACGTCCCACGCTTTCGTGGATAAAATGGGTATGGGCGGATAGAGGAGATCCTCCAGATCAAGAATATATATAGATATAGCCGCGGGAAAGTTATAGTTTTCGAGATATTTACGTTTAAAGTTGAAAATTTCAACTATTTAAAGTACTTATTTTTGCGATTTAAAATGAATTATACACTTATATTTTTCACTTTTATATCCACTAACACTTGACTAAATCGTTTTTACAAATTTTTTTTATATTAGATGCTGCAAAAATAGCTTTATTTCAATATTTAAATCATTCTTCAGTTTTATTAATTTTGACAATAACAAAATGGTTGTGAATGTCAAAACATCAGTGTTGCCATACTAATATATTTTGTAAACGAAGAAAAATAAAATAAACTCAGAGATTGTGCCCTAGATACAGGAAACAACGCAAAAAGAATTTCTGCGCGTAAAAACTTTGGTACACCCCGGTGTTGGATCGACCAGGGTTATTTTTTTGAAGCGCGGCCGAAGGCCGCCAACGCAAAAAGGAGTTCTGCGCAAAAAACCTTGATACACCCCGGTGTTGGACCGACCAGGGTTATTTTTTTGAAGCGCGGCCGAAGGCCGCCAACTCAAAAAGAAGTTCTGCACGAAAAATATTTTGATACACCCCGGTGTTGGACCGACCAGGGTTATTTTTTTTGAAGCGCGGCCGAAGGCCGCCAACGCAAAAAGAAATTCTACAAGAAAAAAGGATTATTGTCATAGAGGGTATAACATAATACTTAACATCAATGCTTTGTTATAGTTTATTTCTCTAGGTTTTGGATTCCTGCATTTGGGGTATTATCTGTTTTAATTTCTTTCAGTTCAATTACAAAAGATGTCGATAAGGTAACACTGGTTATTTGAAATTTTGCAACCCTTTTGTTATTGTCAGAATTAATAGAATTTAACAATAATTTAATTATTAAATTAAACTATTTTTGCACTATATAATGTAAAAAACATGTGTACAAACGAATTAGTGAAGTGTTAGTGGATATAAAAGTGGAAAATATAAGTGTATAACTCATTCGAAATGGGAAAAATGCGTGCTTTAAATAGTCGAAATTTTGAACTTTAAACCCAAATATCTCGAAAACTATAAGTTTCCCGCGGCTATATCTGTATATATTCTTGATCTGGAGGATCTCCTCTATCCGACCATACCCATTTTATCCCCGAAAGCGTGGGACGTTATACTAAAGTTTTCCCAATGTTAGGTATATTTTAAATAGGCACCAAAGTGCTGTTTAATTATTAGATTAATGCTTATAAGGATTCCCACTTTATCCTTTGAAGAGTTCCTCAAAAATTACACAGTTAAGTGAGGATTCAGGAATAAAGATTATCCGATAATAATTCGGTACCAATGCAGATAATTTTGGGAAAACTTTAGTATAACGTCCCAGGCTTTCGGGGGATAAAATGGGTATGGGCGGATAGAGGAGATCCTCCAGATCAAGAATATATATAGATATAGCCGCGGGAAACTTATAGTTTTCGAGATATTTGGGTTTAAAGTTCAAAATTTCGACTATTTAAAGCACGCATTTTTCCCATTTCGAATGAGTTATACACTTATATTTTCCACTTTTATATCCACTAACACTTCACTAATTCGTTTGTACACATGTTTTTTACATTATATAGTGCAAAAATAGTTTAATTTAATAATTAAATTATTGTTAAATTCTATTAATTCTGACAATAACAAAAGGGTTGCAAAATTTCAAATAACCAGTGTTACCTTATCGACATCTTTTGTAATTGAACTGAAAGAAATTAAAACAGATAATACCCCAAATGCAGGAATCCAAAACCTAGAGAAATAAACTATAACAAAGCATTGATGTTAAGTATTATGTTATACCCTCTATGACAATAATCCTTTTTTCTTGTAGAACTTCTTTTTGCGTTGGGGGCCTTCGGCCGCGCTTCAAAAAAAATAACCCTGGTCGGTCCAACACCGGGGTGTATCAAGGTTTTTTTGCGCAGAACTTCTTTTTGCGTTGGCGGCCTTCGGCCGCGCTTAAAAAAAAAATAACCCTGGTCGATCCAAATTCAGGGTGTACCAAAGTTTTTACGCGCAGAAATTCTTTTTGCGTTGTTTCCTGTATCTAGGCTACAATATATTAGTATGGCAACACTGATGTTTTGACATTCACAACCATTTTGTTATTGTCAAAATTAATAAAATTGAAGAATGATTTAAATATTGAAATAAAGCTATTTTGGCAGCATAAAATAAAAAAAAAAAATTCTGAAAACGTATTAGTCAAGTGTTAGTTGATATAAAAGTGAAAAATATAAGTGTATAATTCATTTTAAATCGCAAAAATACGTAAATAGTTGAAATTTTCAACTTTAAACGTAAATATCTCGAAAACTATAAGTTTCCCGCGGCTATATATATATTCTTGAACTGGAGGATCTCCTCTATCCGCCCATACCCACTTTATCCCCGAAAGCCTGGGACGTTATTCTAAAGCCGACCCATAATTTTTGAAAATAAAAATAAATCATAGTAGGTTAAAACCCATGTGGAACAAAATTTAAAATAACTGTAAAATGAAGGTAAAAATAATTTACTGGCGATCTTCGGTCCTGGAGAGGAGAGGCGTGGTTGAATTTGTGAAGGTTGAAACTGTTTATCTTCATTTCCGGCAAAACTTTGAGTCTTATAGAAAAAAGGACAAAGTTTTAGGTAATGAAAAGATATACAACTTTTGTATCAACACATTTTTGACGTAATCTTAAATTTATGCGAAAAATTCAAATTACAAACTTTTCCTAAATAAAACAAAAAAAAACTTTTAACTTTGGTCCTTGTTTTCATTTTTTGAGAAAACTTAAAAAAGTATAAGAATGTATATATATTTAATACCATCAAAAAGAGAGAATTTCGGCAAATATAATACAAAGCTTACTGAAATTTTGACGTCAGAATTTTTGATTGAAAGTTAGGGTTTATTATTTGATATGATATGTAGATCTTTTCATTCATTACCTACAACTTTGCCATAGAACTTTTTTCTATAGGACTCGGTGGTTTTGCCAGAAATCGAGATAAACCGTTTTTTACCCTTACAAATTCAACCACGCTCCTCCCCTTCCTATAGCCCTTAAATTATTTTTACTTTCGTTTATGTTATTTTATCTCTCTTTCTTTCACAATTTCCAATTTTCAAAGGCTTCTGCACTAGTCTAACAATTGATATTTATATATTAAAACAAATTAATTAAATTTATTTTCACAATTCTATTATATTTTTCTCTATTTTAACCGAATTTAAGAAATTTCTATGTAGTTATTAATCAGCCGTTTTCAAGTACAATAAAAAAAAATGTAAATTTACACGATTTAAAAATTTTCTTTGGTAACACGCAAAACCTTAACTTCTACTTAAGTAAGCGTTCTAATACCGACATTATTTGAGGCATATTGAATTTATTGGTAATTATGTACTTAATGACCCCCACTTCGGAGGGGGTTGGGGTTGCAGATGGTATGTGAAGGGAGTCTGTGAAATACAATATTAGTGGATTTAGCCGTCGGCCACACTTCAAAAAAATTATATGAAGGGTTAAAATTTCGTGAAAACAGCATATTCCCAAATTCAACCCTGGTCGGTCAAAAACCGGGGTGTTCATAATTCAATCGCGTCAAACTCCTTTCTGCACTGGCGGCCTTTGGCCGCGCTTCAAAAAAATAGCTCTGGTCGGTC